CAAGAAACAATTTAAGTTATAATTAATAATAATCCCAATAAACATTTCTTCCTCCAAGAAAAGTAGTTTGTTTAGAGTATGCTATTGCTGCCAAGCAACTATGGACTGCTTAAGGAGGACAAGAACATAGACATGAAATGAACCTTTTAACCAACTGTGCCTGAGCACATCGCAATTAGACCTCTGCATTTAACCCATCAATGCCGTGAAACACCACATGCACACTAGTGAACACACACACACTAGGGGGCAGTGAGCACACTTGCCCAGGGCAGTGGGCAGCGGTTGGGGGTTAGGTGCCTTGCACATCAATCACGTACTGTCAGCTGAGTGGATCGAACCAGCGACCTTCCTGTCACAAGGCTGGTTCCCTAACCTCCAGCCCACGACGGACGATGACATCTGACACACGTAAGACAGGCAACACAATCTTGACCTGTTTAGCAGTTTTACAGTGAATCGTTCAGTAAATACTTCACTTCAAAGAATGCTGAATATTACTGGAGGAGCAGTTTAGCTGTCTTTTAGCCTGGTTAGCCTGCTTTGTTATAGCCCAGTTCTTAAGAAAATAAGCAGCGTAACAGTCCATTCCCTGCACAGTGGCTTTTACTGATTGCATAATAATTCAGAATTCACATGTTGAGGTGTGCGTATATTAAGTAACGGCTTCAAACGTGGCTCAGCCAATCAGATTTTAGTTCCAGAATCTCTTTTATAACTACACTTTATGCTGAGACTTGCCTGAAGGGAGTAATTTCAGCTAAAGGGAAAAATGTGTAATTTTGATTTCTGCAGTTTTTACAACTTGAAGCGTCTTTAAAAGCAGACATGTTTGAAGCAGTTTTCAGTAAGTATGTCATGCTTTAACTGACTGACATGCCCCCACATTAACACCTGCACCTGTTATACATACCCCAAACCAAGGGGGTTTGGCAGGTTCAATCAAGGTGGTCTAAATGCACATTTTTAAAAACAGGCTGCTGGCATGATCACCACTGCTACCTTGAAGTGTGCCTAGTTGCAGCTTTTCAGTAACAAAGTGTAACTGGCGCCTTATTTCATTTCCCCGCGCGCTGATTGGATTTGAGATGGTCCTGCTGTCTCCCTCCGGCAGCTCTCTGACAAAGCTGCCATCTCTTTAACGGCGCCTGATAGATATGATAATGCAGCCTGGCTTTATTGTGGAGTGGCTAAGGGGCGCCGAGCAGGTTTCACAAACCCCCTTCCACGTGCCGTTCCGTCTTCGTTCCTTACGTTTTTTCGTCTCGCTCGTTTTTTCCCCCCTTCCATCACTGACTTGGGTTTCTGCTTGAAGGATCTAATCACTTGCATCGTTCACTCACTCACTCACTCACTCACTCACTCTGCATATCTTTTTATTGCACACTCTTCTTCTCATCTGCTTTCATTTCATATTTACAGTTCTAACTAAGGATGCACATCTTACTAGGGACATCTCTAAAGACAGATCTTTGATTCATGTTTCATAGCCATGACATAGCAATTAGTGTAAACATATGCAATCATAGTGGGAAGTATCTGCATAATTAAATGGTTAAAAGGTGTAAAGTCTTAAAAGTCATTCAGAATGGTGTGACGTGAAACGCTCCATTCTGAAGAAACTTACCAAGTCAGTGTTGTTCTCAGTGGTGGTGATAGGAACCTGAAGAGACAGCTGAAGAGTTTAATGCCTCTAAAAGCTACACTGCACTTTGCTACCCTGAAAACAAGTGCCTTAAAGTCAGCGCAGAGATAGTGTGGCTCCTATCCCAAATTAGCAATGTTAACTAGGTTCAGAAATAGAGATGACATATTTATCTCGAGAAAGCCAACTTCATAACTTCTTCATATTCTTCTTTTTATTCACCATTTTACAAATATGCAAGCAATACCTTAGCAACCACTGAGGATACCATCACAATGGCCTAACAACACCTTAGCAACCACCTAGGACACTTTAGCAACCTTAGTAACCAAGGATACCATAGCAAAGGCCTAGTAACACCCCAGCAACCACCGAGGATACCATCGCAATGGCTCAGCAACACCTTAGCAACCACATGGGATACCTTAGCAACAGCCTACCAACACCATAGCAGCCACCTAACAACCCAAGCAAAGCCCTAACAACAAGCTGGAATACCATCACCAAAGCTATTACTATATAAACCCAAATAAGTTATCAAGAACAATTAACAGTGTTCTACAACTGCTTTAACCTCTGAAGCGCTATTAACTGTCCTTGTCAAGCCTACTTCAAGTTCAGTTACGAATGATCTCTTTCTAGTTTTATTTTTTGGCTTTGTTTATTCCTTCCCAGCGGTTCACCAGATATCCATTTGCAAACTCTTACTGATACTCGGATATCAAAATTAGTCAAAATGCACATCCTTAACTTCACCTTGTTTGGTCACCCTGATTTTTAATGCATCTGTACAACACAGATAAACGAGCCGTCTCTGACTAAAACATTTTCAGTGTAAGACTTTTTGTGAAAGTTTCTATTAATATGCGTGTCTATGTTTTCAAACTTTACTTTTGTTTTTTTTTTTGTTTGCTTGTTCATAAAATCGGACTTGGTGTGAATAGGCCTTTAACCAGAGGTTCTTACCATAGTAAGTGAATGTAGCGTTAGGAGTCTAGCCCAAGGCCTCTTTGGAATGAAAATGGCCTTTCGCTACCATGTTAGCATTAACGGTTCTGTGCAAGTACATTTTTTGTTCATCAGGGTACAAACAATGTAAATGTTCCCTCAAAGATATAACAGTGGTTTTAAGGTCCAATTGTGTACCTTACATAAGATTTTCCAGGTGAAAAATATGTGTTTGTACCTTTTCATAACCTAATGTTTTAAAACAGAACAATAAAATAAAAAGCCTGGAGACGAGACGGGGTGTGTGGAGTCAGTACAATTTAAACAATATAATTTCAATAGATTATGGTACAATTATGTTCCCTGACTAAGGGTGCTGAGATGTACCCTTAAAGGTTCCACCCCAGTGACAAGCGGGGCACTGCCCCAGTGACAGTTTCATACCTTTTTTCCTAAAGGTATAGTGACTGTACATTCATCAGTGTGTGCATAAGCAAAAATAGGCCTGTAAGTAATTGACTGTAATTTTTATTACCTGTTCATTTTCTGTTAAACGATACATCAGCTGTTGGGATGTTGCGCTTTTTGCTTTAGATTCTTCTGTTTATTTTACATTCCTTATTTACTCTTCTCCTTTTCTTTGGATTTGTGAGGGAATCACCATCTCCGTTTTATAGCCTGTGCAGTTTTAATGCTGTGGCTGCTCATCTGCTCTTGCACTCGGCAGTTCTGCAGTTTTGTAGTCTGATGAGCATAATGTTGTTTAACCTTGCTTTCATATTCCACTCATAAACACAGGCTTTGATTTATGGAACCTGTCACGAGTTGTCCTTTCGGCCGTGCTTACAAACACAAACAAGCCAGGCGCTTTCTACTCAACAGCAAGAAATGGAAGCGAAATGAACCTGCTTAGCCCAATCGACCTGTCGCTTCGCAGTGAGCTCTTACAGTTTTTGCCCTTTTTGCAGTCTGTCACATCAAATGTAAACCCACCTCCTCCTCCCCAACATTAAGAACAGGGGTCTAATTTTGTCACGTCAGCAGAAAGGACATATGGCTCCAAAAAAATTGCTGCTTGGAGAGATGAAACATCTTGGGTCCGTTCTCTGGAGCTCCTGGTTCAGCAGCTTTTCTGAAGCATCTATTAAATCAATGTCTAAAGAGCGAGAGTGAGAGCAATTTAACGGCGACCTGTTTAACAGGTATTTAATTTCAATGAAGTAATTAACGGCACGTTCAGAGTGAAACCTGCTCCCATCTACAGCCTTTAAGCACTGTATTCCCTTAATTAACAAATATCATGCTTAATTGATCACTCACCTGCAGGGTACGCCAAGCGGTCCACGGAGTGCGGGGAGGGTGGCCGATACACTGACCGCACTAAATGAAAGCTCTTGAGTCGCACTGGACGATTGTCCCTCAGCTTTTGAGTTTTGTGATGTATATGACTGGAAACAGATCCAAGATCAGTATGCAGAATATCTTGACTGCGTGAAGGACATTACTTTAATGAGGAAGCCTGAACAGCATGAGCTACTTAATTCTTCTGTGATGACCTGTGGTACCTGTAGGACACCAGCATTCAAAGATTTGCCATAACTAATAATTGCTGGTGTTTTATTGAATTTTGAAGGGCCAATATCCTACATTTTTCTTGCATTTTTTGCCTTGAGATCCGCTTCTAACATTTGTGTGGTTTTATATGCCAAGAATGATACTTCATTTTCACTTGACCACTGTCCAACCTCTCTTTATCCCTCACAATTAAACACGTAATTTTTGTCTGGGCCTTTGAGACTGACATATGGAAATGAGCTCCCTTCTGATTGGCTGCCTAGTATTGAGCCTCATTCAGAAAGCATTTAGAGCTAAAACACTTAAATATGAATGGGCGAAGCTAAACTGATATATGTAGTTGGTAGTTGGTTCTTGTGACATCACAGATACAGTTCATTCAAAATGGGCTATTTTTACAGCTTAACTGGACTGTAAATGGGCTATTTTTACAGCTTAACTGGACTTCAAAATGGGCTATTTTTACAGCTTAACTGGATTAAGCTGTAGACTGATTAAAAGTGGTACTTTTTTAACTTCAGCATACTTTTACTGTTTACATACTGTCTCAAACTCATTTTTACATAAATTTTTTAATAACTTAAAAAGTAAAATACTGTACTGTAAATCTTTATATGTAGTAATTTTCAGTAGATTATCTGCCTGAGATTTGGATTTTTATAACTTTATTCTCGTTGTTAAGCTTTCTCAGTTATAAAGAATCATCTAGCTCTGTTCATCATTCTGAGCATTGATCCCAAACTTGTGATTGTAAACATTTGTATGTTAGTATAAGTGAAATGACTTCATCATTAGTGTACGTCACTTATTTGTTTCGCTTCTTTTCCTGCAGTGTATTCTGGGATCTGTACTGTGCAGCCCCGGACCGGCGGGAGACATGTGAACATTCCAGCGAGGCCAAGGCTTTCCACGACTATGTGAGTCCCCTTTTTTTGTCTGGACAGTTGCAGCTGTAGCGTTGGTCGAAACCTGCGATTTAACCCCTGCTGATCGTCTGTGTGGGTTTATAGTTCAGCGTTGCGGTTATGGCTCATCCAGTGAGTGGCAGTTGATGATGCCCTGCACAGGGTGGAGTATTTATCATTTTGGCCAGGTGTATGATTTTCAGTGACTGGCACTTTTATTAACCCTTAGAAGTCACAGTTTGTGTTATAAAATTCATGGTGTAATGTGATGTTGACGTAGTCCTTATGCTTCGCTCATTGACATAAGCAGATCATTCTTTCAGAAGTGTATATTACGAACTTTAAATTGATACCACATTGTGTTTGTAAGTGTATGTAATTGTCTATTTTATTCGTTGCATATAATCATTAAAGCTTATAGCCGTTTTGCATCCCAGCTGTTGATACTTAGTAGTAGAAACAACTGGAGCTCAAATAAACAAACATCACTCTTCACACTCTTCTAAACGTGTTACAGCAGCAGTCAGAACTTTTGTTGTCTTGTAAAATTGTTTCCTGCTATCTTTTATTTACATGGATTTTCTTTAACCCAACTGATGAAAACACACCAAATTGATATTCTGTTGCGACACAAATGTGACTGTGAAAGCTAACAACTGTGGAAAATAACTGCAAGTAACAAAACAACTGCGATCAACTCAAACAATTGCAGTTAGATGATGATGTAATAAGTCTGACAGGCCTGTTAGTAAGCAGATGAGGAAATATTTTGGTACTAGTTGAATTTGATAAAAATTATTGTTTTGCGGACAGTCTTGTTTTGCAGTCAGCGCACCGTCTTTTCTGTTTTTGTTTTTATTATTATTTGACCTCGAAACAAGTATAACACAGTGAGAAACCCAAACCAAAACAGAGTGTAAATTCAGTGTAATAAATGTGAAATAGTGTGATTACATTTAAATTGCATAGCAAAATGGCATGAATACCTCTGGACTTCTAAGGGTTAATTACAGTTGTTGAAAATGCAGATTAGCGATGGTGGTTTGGATTATCCTTTGTCTCGTGTTGAGAAGGAAACGTGCAAAGCTCTCTCTAGATGAAGGAACTGCATGAGGTTGCTGTCTGAATAAGGTTGCATGATGATGCTGCCCAGTCTGTCTCACATAGAGGTTAGCACTCTGACCTTTGTGACCCCTTCATCTGCAGAGGGTGGCCACATCCAGCTGGAGGCACATGTGCAGACATCCCGAAAGCCCCATCCCCACAAAAGGACGCTCTTTGTTGATGCAGCTTTCTGGGTGCGAATGACCATGTTAATGCTGCCGCAAACGGTGACCCCTCCTCAACCTTACCACTCAGCCCTTAGCGGTCTGAGAGTTAGCGCTCTGCTACCTTGCCGTTCATTGAGCACTTGGGGATCCTCCTTCTTCCTGCCCTGTTTTCTTTGGCAGAAGTTTAGCGTTGCATATAAATTGTGCAAATATCTTTTTACCCACCACATTAACAGCGTTAAAACCTCGTGAATACACTCTAGAGGTGGATTATGTGTCACACAGAATAATAAAGTGGCTAAGATTTAGTGCTAACTGCTAACTCCGGAGCCTCACCTGGGCCGCACTGTCTTGAGACTTGAAATGGATTATGATTCTATTCTTGCCTCAGACATTTAATTTGCCGGGCTTTGCCGGTGAGACACAGTTAGAACTCCATGTCAGCTAACTGCCAAAGTTTCAACAGATTTGACTTTGTGTGTGCGAGCGCCTGCATGTGTATTGCCACTATAAGATTAATTACATGCTTAATTAAACGCCATGCTTAATTAAACCAGACGTGTGTTCAATTAATCTATATGCCTAATCATTTTTAACTCCCATCCCAGTGGACACCTGGGATTCTTGTGAATGGTCAGATCTGAGGACCCCTCCTGTGGGAAGCTGACCACCCGTATTCACGCTTGATGTGATTTTTGTTGTTAGCCGAGATTGCTTGTTTGAAATGTTTGGGGGGTGGGGAGGGAGGGGTCTTCTAAGCAGGCTCTGTCTCCGCTCCATGCTACCAGACCTCAGGGACTCAGGTCAAGACTGAAAGGCTCAAATGTCCTGCCCCTGAGTTCTAGTCAGAGGATTAATGACCAGTTTCCCTTGACCTTTGACCTCGGCGAGGTTCAGAAGGTCAGGGTGTATCCGCTTGTGGCAGGTTGAGCCGAGTAGTTTGTGTTCTGTGTGAAATGCAAAATTAAATCAAATTTTTGAAAATCGCTGCTGTCACACCCTGTGTTAATCAAAATGATTCCAAACCTGATACGTTATGCGCTTTTGTACATTTTACCACAGAATGTAAATGGATGTTCTGAATTACAACGTCATTAAGAAGTCAAAATATGAATTTTCCAAGCCAACAGTCACTAATTTGACATCACTTGTCCATCACAGGCACCAAAATACCCCACAGAAACCAGCCGACTTTGTCGACTGTAGTAGTGCACTGGCTTTTGTAGAGTACATTTGGAGTAGTATGGAGTAGTAAAGTGTAAGTAATGTGTGCTATGTAATACAGGGTGTCCCAAAAAAATTGAGATGTGAATATCTGAGTAACTACATGTCCTGGGCAAACAAAATTAAATAGGCTTCATGTTGAACAATACAAGATTTATTTATCAAAATTCAAATTCACAGGGATGTAGATTTTATAACCGATTTCACAAAGCTTCACGAATGTAATATCTTCCGATACTGGTGGTCGTCCAGATCCCTTTGCTCTGCACAGACAGCCTTCCTCTTCGAATTTTTTGTGCCATGACCAAATCTGTTTTCCAGTTGGTGCATTTTTACTGAATTTTCTCAAAAATGCACGCTGCACACTCAAATTTTTGGGACACCCTGTATATTTACTCACAAATATGAACAAACTTGCCATTTTGCAGTCCAGGTAAAAACTTATATTACAGCTTCACTGAATTATTGTACGAAACGTAACAAATACCCAAGTAGTTTTTTCAGTATTCAAGTATTCAGTACCCATGCATGTCCCTAATTGAATTTATATGCAGTCTACCCCTCTTTGCTGGGCTGCTTCTAAGAGAATCTAAGGACAGTCTCTGTCTATTTTGAGTTTTTTGTGGACTCTGGGCTAATGTTGTGTGAAGAGTGTTATCGTGGAGGTTGTGATGAGCTGTGGTTTGGGGTGGAGGTGGAGTGAAGGAAGAGGAGAAGGCTGGAGTCCCCCAGGATGCTCCAGACCTCTCTCTGTCTGATTAACTTCAGCCCCGGATTCCCTGCGGACCGGCCGCCCCATCAAGCCTGCTATCTCAGGCTAGGCTGATAACAGGGCCCATTCCCCAGTGTGTCAGTGGATCAGGGGCAGAAAAACAAGCAGAATCCCATGAGTCAAAACCTTCTCACTCCAGCAATATTGCCGCCTTCTTCTCTTCATTCAGAGCTTCCACACTGTTTGGGTTTTTTTGTGGATTAAATGTGAGTCTGCTGTGTGTGTATAATTCTTTTAACTGTAGGCTTTTTCTCTGGAACTTGGTGCTTTGTTGATGTGCTGGTGGTCTTGATACAGTTTGGAATTAATCTGAGTTTTCCATGGACGCATGTTCTCCCTTTCATTCACCCCTTTTCTCTCTTTGGCTTCTGAAATAGCCTCCGCAGGTCCTCCAGTTTGGGAAAGATAATGGGATATAATGTGCTAATCCTCAAATCTGGGGAATGGTTCATAGCTAATCTGAGGATTTTTGTGGGATTGGGGCTCTGGCGGGGTCCCAGAACCCGAGGGTCTGGCAACCCTGGTACAACCAAAACACCCTCAGCCTTCGGTTTAATGTAAGAATGTCAAGTAGAATTACCTAGCCTAGCTAACAAAAAGTTTGCGCTGACATTTTTATTGCATCTTAAAGCACATCTGGGCATCGCATCTTGGCGAGCAGCTCCAGGTCCAACATTAAGAGCGTACACTGAAGGCTTAGCAAGAGGGTAGAAGAGTTTGACCAGTGAAGCGATGCTCTCTTTGTTCTGAACAGCATCCAGAGGTCTCGACGTGAGCATCTGGAGTTTATGTTAATATGACATCTGTACCCGCTGCTCGGTGCAGACACTGGGACACACAAGCTTTCCTCGCTTCAGAGTACTGCCAACCCATTTCCACAAGCCAAAGTATACACACTGGGCATCGTACACGAAACCTTCCTAAATACATGAACAAGTTTGCGTGTTATAAATTATTAAATTTGTTTCCCTGCTTGTTGTCTTGGGCATCCTTGAAAATGAAGCCACATGGTGATGAGAAACAGTTCACTGCATTTCCAAAAACACCTTAGCAGTAGGAAAAGGGAAAACTGTTGCAAATAACCTACAAAGACCCATACAAATAGTTTCTCTAGCTCTTTACAGCGTTGTGCAGTCAGAACCATCTTTTTGTTTATTTACTTTCGAGCCTGATTTTGTTCAAAGGCGTCATGAATGCAGTACAAATTTTAATACATCATGCAGTACCCACTGAACATGTTTGTTTAGGAACAAATTCATTTTACACCAAACGCACTGATGAGACGCACTTCGCAAACGAAGAAGCAGCTGATGTTCTCAGAACAATGTGCTGTCCACCTACATTAAATGTGTTTGGGATTATTTGGATCATGAGAGGCAGAAAATACAACCTAGTTCTAAGACTGAACTGGAGGTATGGAAATATATCCCAGCAGATTTCTTTGAAAAACTGAAAGCAAGTCTCCTGAAAAGAATGGAAGCTTATTTAGTTGTTGAAGCATCAGTGTAATGTCATTGTCATATATATATATATATATATATGTGTGCTGCTGCTGTAGGAAGAAAACCTTGTATCTCCATTTTTGTTGTTTTCTAGTTTTTGACCCAATTTGAAAATATCTGTTGCCCTTTACCTTGTGTGTAAATATCATGAAAAATGGACCAAAAGAAATTACCCAAAACGGCTTTGAAAATAGTCTGGTTCCATTGACTTACATTAAAAGTAAATTAGGTTTTCCTTCTCCT